CTCAATATGGATCAATGACCATCGCCTTGAGACACAGACACCATTCTATTTGGGATGATAGGTTGGTGACAAACAAGGTGGGGAAGGTAATACAAAGTAGAAATGCCCTGGACAGTCTTACCCAGGCACTGTCATGGTGAAAAAAAACCCACATCTAAATTGATTTCTGCACCATGCTCATGTTAACATTACTTTCTAGCTGCAAGGTTTGCTTTAGTGGACGACTTGAGAGGTGTGTTCTTGTGTTTCTATATGTTTGTTGCTATAGTGATTTCCTAAAAAGCGTGGGATGATTTGAGTTGAAGTGAGTTCGAGTCCAAATAACATAACATAAATTCCACTAAATAATGGTTTGATGGACTCAACAAGACTTGGAATATGATTATAGGTCACACACAGCTGTCTCCATACTTGATGCAAGAAATATTGCTTGTGTTTGTGGCACTGTGTGCACACATGGCACTTAAATTTCACAGGCCGGAGTGAAATAATAGTGTTGACTCAGAATGAGGCATGCTCGACCCTCTAGGGTGATTCTGTTTCCTCTTGGTCCAAAGACTGTGCCCTTCATCCTCCCTGCTTGCCCTTGTGCCTCTCATTTGCATGTCAGAGAATGAAGCAGCTCATTGGGTGAGGATGGGTTTGGGGAAAGCGATCCCATCCTGCATCCATTAGACAATCACCTTTACCATTAACCCAGACTAAAGGCTCTCCTGAGAGCTGCCTGTCGCTCTGCATCACAGCGGTATCATACCATTAAAGAATTTACTTAGAAAGACACAGGGAGTGTAATGCCACACTTCTATGTAACTACTACAATTAACATTTACATATTGAATGTTCCAATTGAAATTGCAAAGTGAAAGGAGTGCTTCATTACTTTTTCAGAATATTGAATAATCTCAATCTAAAAGAGGGATTAGTCATGACATCGTCTGTGTAAAAAAAAAAAATCTGTATTATTGTATGTTATTGATGATATTTCTGCAGGATTGTCGTGTTTAGATTGTGTAACTTCCAATGTATTTTCTTAGAAGTAATTATTCAGTCTCACAGGCGACAGACAATAAAGGACTTTAAGTCTGAAGGCCTTGAAAAGAGGGGAATAATGATGAGACAGCATCAGAGAAATGCATGGACAATTACAGTCACAGTAACTTTTTTTTCTGTGAAGGTGAGTTTGAATCCATTTAGATTTACCACTGAGATCCAAGTGTATAATTTTTCTTCTTTCAGGGTAAGGTCTGTGCCAAAAACCTGCTGTTACATCAACATTTCAATTTTTAAATTCCAAAATGCGTCTATTGGTTAAAAGTCACCCAAATATCAGAAAAAACAAATCCACTGATAAAGATAATAACTTGAGAGAGATTCTGAGACCGATGTTGAATGAACCTAGGGACACGCAAAAACTTTTGAGTCTGTGTGTAGGCAAGAGAGATTATCTAATTTTCCTTTCAGTGGTCTAAAGTTCACGACAGCATACCGAGTGTGTGGGCAGGTTTGGACTGGCGGCTCAGAGCTTTGTCTCTGGCAGGCAGCCTGAAGGCCAAGCTGCTGTTGTGAACTCTCCATAGAAACTTGAACAAATAACAAAAAATTTCATCTGACCTCTAAAAAAAAGAGGAGAAAGGAAAGAGACAGCCAAATAACTTTCTGTTCCTGGTGTTTCACACCTCATATTTACTGCCTCTAACTTACCTGTACACATACACAGTAACACTTATATACAAACAGAGATGTATTCTTTACAGGTATTGATGCATCAAGTTGATATTTTTTAAACATGAATAATAGATGTATAAATACACAGTGAACAGTAAAGACACAAAAGATGGCACTGTTATATTATTGCATTGTATTGCACAGCCCTGAGGTTTCGACTTTCTTGTAGGGGAGAATGTGTGAAAAAACGAAACAAACTAAAAACCAAATAAGAGCTTTTTTTCAAAGCCAGCACAATGTGTTGTGTTTTGTCTTCTCATCATGTTGTGTGAGGTTCCATGCTGATTACTGCAGAGTTCACACTGCTGGTGACCAGATATGCATCTGTGTGTTTCCCCATTAAAACTAATGACTGAAAGCATTGATATACACAGCATAAATGTAATGAGTAAGATGTAGACTTGGAGGGTGGAATATAGGGCGTTACTTCAATCTTTGTGGCTTGAAAAATATCCAAACCATGCTGATATACTGCTCTCAGGCTGAGAACAATATATCAGCTTCTTTTTGACCTCACTTTTCCATTCTTATTCAATCTGAAGTGGAAACAGAGAGACCGTGTGTTGCCATATACGTTCGGCTGTGTGGAGAGGAGACGCTGCTATGCAAAACAGAAAGTGTGAGATTTGAAATATCTAAGAAGGCTGTCTTGTGACTAAACTGGTGCCTCTGGTGGGAGCGAGACGCAACACATTGGGCTGAAGCATGAGGAAAAATAAGGTGAGGAAAAACGGAAGCGCAGCAGATAAATAAATCGTCATTATGGCAGCTGCTGACAATCATAGACTGGCAAGTCATTCTGCTGACAAGTGTATTGGTGTTTGGCAGGCATGGCACAGTGTCATGGGACTCTGACAGTGATGTATTGTGTACCCATCAGAGTGTGTGCTCATGTGACACAAACAATGGGGCTGCAGTGGTGCATTGGTATGTTTCACTGCATAATGTTTACTGTTTATTTTGTATAGACTGTGTAGAAGTGTAACCATTTCAACTTCCTCATGAGCAAAGGTCTTCCCAGAGGGTGAACTAGGGGGGCGTAGTACCTGCCAGGAAATCTGATTGGCCACCCCAGGTGCAGCCATTTACTATAATTGGCTATCAGAGGCAGGACTTATGATTGAACCACAACATTGAGCTCTATTTGAACAGGCAGCTTTGAGGCATTTCAATGAAGCAAATCTCTACTGTTGGGGACTTTTGGTGATACATCTTTTGAGTCTTTACAGATAAGGCATTACGATTTATATGTTTCCAAGCTGTTCTTAAATAGGACTCAAATAAAGGACTGCAATGAATGTATGATACGTTAATGTTTGTTGAATGATTTGTTAAGACAGAAATGGTACAAAAAAACAAACAATTGAGTAATGTTTGTGGGGACATACTTCATCATGCCCCAGATTGGCAAACCAACTCAGAAAGTGTTAGACACACCCCTTGACTTGAAGAGGATTTCGTCTTCCTATCATTAACCATTTATAATGTCATTCTGCCATTTCTTCTGTCTATTGATGACTATATATTTAATGTAGAGTCAGCTCTTTATTCACACTGTCCAATTTTACCAGGCTACTTCTTGATGGAAAATCAACCTGTTTTACTGATGGTCAGAGAAGCACAGCTTTCACAGAGTACAACATTTATAGTCATATATAGTTCTGAGATGCTCTCAGTTGTCCAGCTCCTGTGGATGTTAATTGTTGAAGGTGACATTCACCATGACTCATGTCGATAATGACAATAATTACAAACCACAAAGCCCCCACATGTAGAGTGTACTCTTCCCACAAATGAAAGGTTGCTATGCAAAATGATTCGAGGATATAAATGGGATAAGTGCAGGAAGTGAAAGTGGAGACACTCGAATCTCCTAAAAGCAACCAAGCATTTACCCTCTTTAGGCAAAACTTTTTGTTTTACTTGAGATACCCTTGGAAGTTACTAATACAAGTTTTATAAACATCACCATCCTGAGTCCTCTGCACATCTTGGCTGGATGAAAAGGTTGTCCTTGCTGTCAGCCGTTGATTAGCCATCCAGTGTGTTGTGGACACGGTTGTCTCCGTGTCTCGGTGGGAGGTCGGCAGGACTTGATGGATGTCTCTCTTTTGAGATTGCACAGTGCCGCGGAGAGGGAGGAGGACCCGGCCCTGTTATCTATTCATGCTGAGTTCCTTTCTGCTCTGCCTAAAATGGAGCAGGACCTCCCTCCACAGCGTGATTCCATCATCGCTGGATAGAGCTAAGGAGTGCATAAAAGAGAATAAGAAAAAGCACCTCTTCCGTTTCTGATCCCCAAGCACCTTTTAAGCAGAAATCCACTTAGAACTGGCATAAGTAGGGAGGGCGAAATCCCTTGATTTTCTACAAGAGCAGTGAATTTGAGGATAATCTTCACAGTATGTCGTTGTGGGACGCCTGTCTCATAGACTGTGGTTACCCGCTCTAAAAATACCCACAGAGGCACGGTAAAACAGACAAATCCACACATACACTCACATGAACTCATTTACGACAACAGAAAAGCACCCCAAGACACTTTTGCACGAACACACAAACTCATTCCCTGACTCATTTTCTTTCACACCAGCTCAATAAGACTGCAGGACAGTGAATCCTATTAGATATGAGAAAACAAAGACGGCAATGGCTCATTGAGGAGGAAAAAAAAAACCCCACTTTTGCTTCCTCTCTTTGCATATTCCTTCGTGATTCTGGCAAGACCAATGGGAGATTGATGTGTCTGTCCTTTTCATACCTTCTGTGACTGCTCAGCAAGGCGCAGGGCTCAATGAAACCAGCCAAATTCCTAAATGATGAATGTACGCTAGTGCGTCCGTTGGGAGAAAAAACGAATCTCATATCAGCTGAGGGAGGAGGTTGATATTGAAAATCATCTGGAATTTCGCCTGGCACGATATTGGAAATCTTTATTCTAATTGCATGAATGAATTGAATGTGGTGTTCTGATAAATCCTCTCTGCCACCAAGGGAATTGTATAAATGAAGCATCACCGATTGGTGTGTGTGTTTATTGTGTGTGTGCGCGCGTGTGTGTGTGTTTGTCTGCCCAGGAGTCATTTTCACATTGCCTCGTGCTGTTGTTGATTGCTTGTTTACTCAAGCAAAAAGTCAGTTCACAATGTTAACATATCATATAAATGAAACTCTGACAAGATTCCCCCCCCGCCACATATTACAACATATCAAATTGTCATAAGAGGAACATTTCTCAAAATATCAGTTACGCTATGAAGGAAAGGGAGACAGCATATCAGTATAGAAAACCATTTTTTATTTCTCATAAGGCCGTCCTGTAATGTACTTTTATCTACTTGGGGGTAACTGTATGTTTCTCCATTGTGACTAATACTTTCTTGCTGTCAACTCAAATAAATCATCTTTCTCTGCGCTTCGCGAGGGAGATCTACAGAAGAAACACAGTCAGGCAGTCGCCCATGACTGTCCGATTATGCTCCAAGTTTTTCTGCTGCTGTTTTATGTCCCTAATGCATCTGAGTGCAACGCTCAGGGGGTTGTTCCTAGTGCGGTTTTCTCTTGTGAGGCAGTTCTGTACAGTGTTTTCCTCATTTTTACAGAAACCACAAGCACTTTGGGGCTTAACCAAGGACATTGCTGAAAAACGAAAGGGACCAATACTTACTGTTATGACTCCACAGTGGCTTTTTTCCAATGCAAAGCAGTCCAACACACAACATACTGGGACAACAGTCTCTGAATACACTCAGTGGCTGATCAAATTTCCAAATTCTTAAATATATATTTTTCAGCTTCTTGGATCTGTCATCTTATAGGTCATGTATTTATATATGTATATATACACAATTATCTTACATACAAAGAAAAGAAGTGCTCATGAATTTACATCGGACATGCCCTCAAATAAAATCAAAATGTCCATCATGAAGGATGAAGGTGAAGCCAGAAGACCTCTTAAACAGCTTATCAGGCTGCTCGAGGTCTCGGTCACTGTAAACCCAGTGTTTTTTAAACAATTCTCATCTGAGTGTTTCAAAGCAAGGACGTCCAGCTGGGGTAGCGAGTCAAATACGAATGCCTTCCACACAGACATTAAAAGGATATTAAGGTTATTTCCTTCCATCGGCCCTTAGTTCTGTGTCCATGTTCCTCCACCGGATTACCTTTGGGCAGGGTGTACGCCTATCAATAATGTTTTAACCACCTCTAAATTACCCCCTGCAAAACTGAATCAGTTTCTAAGGGTGAGCAGAGGGAGAGAAACAGAGACAGAGTCGGTCTGAAACTGGCCACAGCTGTGAGGAAGAGGAGAGTCACCAACATGAGGCTCATTGATCAAACAAGGGATTAGTCTAGTTTCAAATCCTTGGCACCACACGAGCAAAGCTGTTTTTATCTGGGTGGATATCCTTTCTGTGGTCCCAGGTAATCCAGTCGGTTGCCGTGGATGTAATAGTTTTAGTCCGTTCAGAGAAGAGAGAAAGGGTAGATGAGGGGAAAAGCCTGGCACGCAGCCCTGCAATGGGAGCTCTCTGTTAGGTCCTTGGATGAATCTGCAACACAGAGGAGGAAGAGGAGAGGAGAGAAAACACACATACACTTAGATAGAACAAAGGCATACAAGTGTGTGAGGATTACACCCAGAGGAATAGCTCCATACGCGTGTTTTCAAAAACAAGGGGAGGCTTTTGAACTGCGGCGGCTTTATAGAGCCCTTTCTCACCTCTTGGTGCCTGCTGCTACTAAAAACAGACGACTTATACGAGTGGAAACAGTGCAGAAATGGGGGGGTGTTTGGCATTTATAGGTATTGTGGGATATATTAGGAACACTCTTCATACCCAAAACAACCTGGTGTATTTCCATGCTGTGTATGTCTGCTATACAAATTGACACCCTGGCATATTTATGACTTTATTTCAGGCCCCCAAACCCCTCATTTACACCTTCATACCAAGCCAGCCAATCAAGGCAGAAGATTTCCAACCAACCCAAGAAAAATGACTTTGGCTTTGCTAAATGGGATCACATCCGCAGTGGAGACTGAGCTATATCTCTGTGACTCTGGTTCAGGGTCTCTTATTGAGCCTCGTTTGCAGGCCGGGACACATTTCAATACTACATTGTGCAACCTTGAGACTGCTATTGAATATCCTGCTTTTCAGCATCCTGCTCAACCTGAAGCTCAATAACTGTTTGCCGGATGTCTGCAGCAGTTAAAGCAACAAAGTTCCTTGTCCTCTTTTGACTGTCTCTGCAGCAAAAGCATGGTCGTTTGCCACAGTATTTCTGTAACTCACTTTGATCCTATTTTCACAGTTTTTTTTACTGCTTTAACATTGTTCATTGAAGACATGTGAAGTCTAATGCACAGTGTGGGGCCAATTAGAAATCCCATAATCCTGCTCAACAAGCAAACATAGTCATGACATTTCCAGCAGGCTTGGCAGGTGGTAGCCAGGTGTGTGGATTTGATTGTGGAGGGTGCTTTTGACATTCTGTGAGCTCATGGAGAGTCTCTGAGGTCCAATATGTTGGACATGTGAGCAAGAGAGCCAAATGCTCTTAATAACACGTTTCTGTGCGTGGGACTGTGTGCACCTGTATTCATCTATATTGAATGTTGTGCTATTTTAGGATCATGCTTCAAACAACGAACAGAGGAGACGCTCAGGCATGATAATTTAGGTGTAATTTAGCATCAACAATGAATGCCACTGTAGCATAATGCAGAACAACTGTTTTTGTAGATTTGTGTTGGTGTTTAAAGATAACTGAGTCGTACAAAACGTAAAATGCTCAAATACTGGATTCAAGTAAATCATTTAGGTCATTTTGACATCAATAACCTGTCGAAACAAAAAGATGCAGCTCCTTATTTTCTACCTCATCGAGGCAAACATGTTTTCAATCCTGGGCCTTGTTTTTCAATGAGCAGGATAAACTACGCTTCTCCATAAAACCTTTTTAAGATTTCAAAGGTATATGATGCTTGGAAAATAGGCACATTAGGTCAGAGTACAAGGACAGGTGTTCTGTCATGTGTTGCAATGGCACCACCTGTTGGCCTGCAACTTGTTTCAAAGGAAACAGGAAGTGTGCACTCTATAAAAGGAACAGGACGTTGGAGGGTCTTCCTTTTGTCATCGTCAGAGCACACATGTGCCAACTCCTGGCTCAACAACGAACTGACTTGTGTCGCTTAAGACAGCAACGGCTGTAAGTCATTTATTATGTATGATTGCAAGGTGGCTAGCCCTTAGTTGTTTTGACAGAATGTGGTTGCAGAATCTGTATTTTTGACTTGCTTATTGTAGCATGTAGTTTAACTTAGCATTAGCTTAGTTTAGCCCATAGCTTAGCATAGCATTTAGCTTAGCACGTAGCTTAGTTTAGCACATAGCTTAGCATAATTAGCTTAGCATTAATGTTATAATTGTATTACAAGTGAATTTTTGAATTATGTGAGGTTATTTATAGCACCTTGCTAATCTGTGCATTTTCTTTGTTATAGTTTCAAGATCAACTGAGAACCTGACTCACTCATCATTTGAATCCAGGCTGACTGTCAAACTGCGTACCCACACATGTAGGGAGGACAGTTACAACAGGTATTTTTGATGCAGGTCACAGAATTTCTGTTTTGTCATTTCTGCAGTAACCTGGGTAAAAAAACCTGGATATGTTTGTAAAGATCCAGTATGATTTTTTTTTTTTTTTTTTTAATACAGCTCAGATCAATCATCAAGTGAATCAAGTTATGAATCACTGAAACAATTGGTACGCCCCAGCCATTTTTTTTCCTTTCAGGAAAATCCTTTTTAACGTATAATGGCTTGCTAAAAAAGATGTCAAATAAGTTGTCCCACAGCTCCATGTTAGGGAGACACTTTCTGACTTCATGTCTATCATCGTTGCACCACAGCGTCTCCTCTGCGCGTACTAAAAGTCTCATATTTAACATGAAAGTGTCTTCCTCCGTACAGTTTTGGTCCCTTTTTCTCCATGACCCTTACATTCAGCAATCCTCTGAGGTTATCTTTCAAGCATTTGCATCCCTATCATCTATTATAGGACGACACATATCCAAATGTATGTACTCTGTCAGAACACGAGCAGCAACAGGTTAGCCATAGCAGCTCACAGTCTGTCTCAGACACAATCCACCTGAGGTTTGTTAGCGGAGAAATAAGGACAGTATGCAAATGCTGTCAAATCAACCCCTTGCATTTGTGTGTGCGTGACTTAAAGTGTCCTCTGTTCTATTTTGTCCTCTGTCTCTTCAAATGAACAGTGCAGCAGGTAGCAGCGGATTGTTCAAGGATTTCCTGCCTATCCCATCTTTGCTGGCAACTAAGCAGTCTGCATTCTAATTTGCAGGCCGCATTAAATTGCAATTTACTCAGACTTCAGTTAGTAAAAGGAGCCAAGGACAACTGCCTTAGCAAAAATAATTCAGTGCAAACACAGCCCTACCCTATCCCTCTTTCTCTTTTAGTGCCGAACAAATCAATCATGCCAGCTTAGAAACCTCTTCAAACAAGAAACTAAAGAGCACCCTCTAAAAACAGAAGACTCCAGACAACAAAAGACACCAAGAACCATTTAATGTCACATTGACAATGAAAAAGGCAATGAGTATAAATTAATCAATAGCATTTGTAATGCACACCTCCACCATGAACCTGTATGAATATATCATGAGGATGAAACCCTGTCAATTGTTAAAACTTGAACTACATGTGTAAAAAAAGTATTAATTAACCGCAGATGACCCACAGTTTGGTTTTATTTTCTACCTCATGATGACATCATACAGGATCGCAGGGTGGGGTTGGAGGTGTTAAGTGGTAGTGTGATGCACAGAGGTGAAACAGATGATTTGTTGATGAAGTTGAACTGTAAGTGGAGCGTTGGCTTTGAGTTCATTCTGTTCCTCTGCAGTGTTCGGCCACCAGATTTGACATATTAAACGATGATGAGTGTGCTGGCAGGTCACTTCTGCTCTGAAACTGTCTCACAGATGGGCTACATTCTGTCATAGTGTGCTAGTTTGCCTGAAAAAGTGCCCTTCGGTTCTTTTTATGAAGGATGTGGGTCTCTGAACAGCAAGTAAATCATGTTGGACAAGTCGGAGGTAACACACAGTATATCAAATTGAATTACACACTTAGCATTCACTCATGGGAAATTATATACTGTATTTCATAGTGGCCTTGTGGAGTTAAAACGGCTTCTGTAGATGAGGGTTTAAGTTGCCATTAGTAAACAAGTGATGTAAATTCTTGAAATGCCCGATGAAGATTGTAGTAGTATGACATATTGTTTTCATATAACAACATTGGATTGAGCAGCCCTAACGTGAGGTTTCCATACGAAAGTACTCCTTTCACTCTCATTAAAGCAGTACATAGGAACAAGAGGTGTTTTCATTACAGTTTCTCTCACTCTTCCAGTCCCTCTAAAAGTGTGTAATTGTTCGTAGCGAGCAGTCGTGGATTGATCTATTTAGCAAGGGGAGTGGGTAATGCAGAACTACGCGGGGCGAGTTGGGAGGTGCTCCCCAGCCTCTCTCTCTCTCACTGTGACTTATCCAATCAAAAAAGGCCTGCCTTGTCTGCTGCTACAGAACAGGCAATGAAGGACTCCCTCTCTGAAAGACATAAAGAAAAGCAGAAACACCTGTGTCAGGCAAGGGCTCTGCTTGGCTTCTTACTTTTCATGCCAATTTCTTATGAAAGATGGTGTGTGTGTGTGTGTGTGTGTGTGTGTGTGTGTGTGTGTGTGTGTGTGTGTGTGTGTGTGTGTGTGTGTGTGTGTGTGTGTGTGTGTGTGTGTGTGTGTGTGTGTGTGTGTGTGTGTGTGTGTGTGTGTGTGTGTGTGTGTGTGTGTGTGTGTGTGTGTGTGTGTGTGTGTGTGTGTGTGTGTGTGTGTGTGTGTGTGTGTGTGTGTGTGTGTGTGTGTGTGTGTGTGTCATTGTTCTTCACTGACACTTTTCAATGAAACATAAACCTGCGGGAGAAACAGGATGGTGGACGATTTGAAAAAAGAAAAAAACAAACAAACCAAAAAAAAAAAATGGCTCGTGACAGAGCAAATACAAATGAGGCAATTTGGCCTGAGAGGCAGGTGAATGAGGAATGTTGATTAAAAAAGGGAGCAGAGTGCAGGATGAAAGGCCTTTCATGTAGCCTGTGGGCTATGTTGTTCGCTGATAGCTGCTTCAACAAGATCCTCAGAGGGGGATCAGGATATCAAGTGGCCTCTGATAAGAAGGGAAATGGGGAGAGGCCTGCCTGGGGCTGACCACACAGATGTATCAAAACACATCAAACATGTGCATTTATACACAACAAGGAGCACACATAGAAAGGAGCAAGTAGCATGTCACAGATTAGTGACTAATGGGATTGGCAGAACAGTGGAAGGCTCTGTAATCAAACCCACACAGTGGTAGATAGCAAAATCAGGACATGGAACAAAGGAGGCCATGAGAGGAAGGGGGACTGATCCTGCCATTACACCCTGTTCACAAACAACCGGGCTTTGCTGAGGGGGACCGTACCTAAATGTGTGTGTGTGTTTCCTTTAGTACTGTTTGCTGCTACTGTATATGCATTTCCACCATGCTGACTAATATATTGTAGTGATACATGTGCCTCTGTTTATGCAAAAAAAAAAAAAAACGCTGCAACTTACTTTTCATTTATGCGTGCGCTTCCTGGGCTGGTTGATAAATATTTACAGAGGGTGGCGGTGCGTTCAGTATTTGTGTCACGCCTGCCTAATCATGCACAGCATGTAAACACACACTTGATTATTTTGCGCTGAGCATTTGGGTTAATGAGAAGTCATTGAACATGAGTTGGTCCCACTCCTACTGGCCGACAATCAAGTGCATTACAGAGAGACGAGAAAACAGAAACAAATAACAGCTTGAGAAAAAGACTAACCTTTACAGAAGCAAGAATGCAGCTCAATTTCTGTTGACGCATCCTCTGCATTTTGCTTCCAGAGGCTAAAAAGGGGAGTATGGCTGGGTGTTCTGCAAAGAGAGGGGCAAGAGAAAAGGACACATGTGTATTGGGTAGAAAAGCAGCTTCAGGCCTGAGTTTTTGGCCCTTTTCTCTTAAGATTTTGATGTTATCAGACCAAAGCTTTTTACTAAATGTGATGTATTAATGCTCTATCTTCATTTGTGTGTGCAGATATGATAAACTGTGTTTTTTTTCATGTAAACTATCTTAAGAGGTTTCACTTAAAACATTTGTGCAAAATAACACAAACAATCATGAGTTTACTTCTATCAAATTGTGCAAAGGACTGATTTGAAAATTAGAGATGCATTCTTTAGGGTGAACCAAGTTCGCAACCTTACCTTGACAGGATGAAAAGACCCCATTCCATCAAACTTCCCTCTGAAATATTTGGGTCTGTGGAGGCTGTGCAGGGGCCCCGTAAAAGCTTTATGTCTATTTGCTGGCATATAATCTGCAGAACAACCTTGAGAAGCCCTGTGTGGTCTAACCTTGACTGGTTGTTCCCTCTCCCCCTGCCGTCACATTAGTCTCGGCTCGTATTCAGAGTCATTGTCACCAAGCGCTAAGAGAAGACGGGTTTGCTGATCGCGAACAGGTGGGGGGGGTGAGTCAATTAAATGAATACAAATCGGGCGATCAACCTGTCACGGAGTGCAGGACTGCTTCTTTGAAGACTTAACTCGCTTCATTATTTTTGCATGCTGCAGTTGGAGTCAGTTTACAGAGCCGACAGGCAGAGAGAAACAGAGTGGCCGTTAACTTTATCTGTGAGAGGAGTGTGGCCTGAGGCAGAGCCCACCTGTTTGTTTGTCTGCTTTATGTTTGTTCCTCACCTCAGCAGGCTCTTAGATAGGTTGCTAACACTGCACTGAGCCCACCGTGTTATACAGAGAGGGCACAGATGTGCTGAGCACTCTGGACATTTTCTATACAGCATGACATCAGCACATTTGTTTTATCCACAGTTTGACCGTATACACATTTGTTATTAGTGGCCGATCACTCAGACATTAAGGAGAGGTTTGTCAAAGCTTCAATTCACAGTTGCCAAACACAGCCTCTTATAATTTATGGTGATATTTTTATTTATGTCAGGTCTTAGAGGTCAAATAAAAACAATACATCTATCTGCTATTTATTCCTTAGCTGTTTGCAAGTGGGGTGAGTTTGCTGATATGCACGCATGATTATGTTTGCAAGTATCTGCCTGGATAATATTTGCACATACAATGAGCTGCATACAGAACAGGCATATGCATGTATTGGACATGTGCAGTAAGTATACTTTTGTGCACCGCGAGTGCCGGTCTGTTCATGCAGGTAGATGCATTTGTGCTTCAGTGAGTGTGTATGTGTGCAGGAGCTCACTCTTGTGGTCTTGATTTTGTTCCCGGAGGAGCACATCCATCCAGAGTTGTCAGGCAGAGTCTTACACTCTTCTCCCTCCAGACACGGTTCCATCTCACACCACCATTTCCCAATTACAATGGACGCTGGGGAAGGTAAGCACAGACACAAAACAAAAAAAACAGCTTATTTTACCATACGGAGCCAAAAGAAGGAACGGAAGAAAAAACTTTAAAATAAAGAAAATGGAAAAAGGACATTTGATGGACCTTTTTTTTTTTTTTAAAACAACAGTTCAAACAGTAAACAGATGAATATGCAAATGCAAAGCTTTTTTTGTTTACATATGTAAAGGGCCACTTGTATTTGTAAAGAAATACACAGAAGCACCCACACACTTTATGAGCAGCTCCAGAGATACACCCAGCCGAGTCCCTGAATGAATATTTTGCCTTCTCTCTGGGCCTCAGAGCAATTGCATCCTTGCTGCTTGGATACTTTTCCTGTTGACAATATTGTCTTATACAAACAGAAATTAATCATTGTTTTGTTTTGCTATAGCTACATTGCATGTAGGGGAGCAATCTCATTTTTAATCAAAACTAATTGCCTCTCATTAACATCGACTGAATTCTTCCTCCAGCTATCAGACGAAAAACAAATATGTTCTCATCTTCTGATCAAGATCTTCTTCCCTCTCTCTCTTCCTTTACATACCAATCCCGGCCATCAGCATGTGTGTGTGTGTGTGTGTGTGAGTAAATATGTGAATTAAAAGTAAATTGCATCTGTAAGGTGATGCCAAATAAATAAAAAATTTTATGATATGTAAGTCCTCCCCTAATAAATCTTTCATACATCTTGTGAGTTAAATAAATAAATTCTCTTTGCATATTTCACCTAGTTCCAAATGATCAATTAATCACAATTACTCAAGGTAAACGAAATTTATTAGAACACTATTTATATAAAGCAAACTTACAATACTTTTTATATTGTTTCCATAGTTTTTTCTTTGTGTAGAATCCAGATGTTTTGGCTTTTCAACCTCTCTTTGAGATGAATCCCACAAATCAAGACATTTTTTTTTCTCAAAGTCAAGCTGCGATTCATTTATTAACCACGATGTGTGAAGGACTGTTCTCTTCTTCACACACCTCCGCAAGAGCTTCCTGACAGCAAACGTTCAAAGATCTGTGGAGTTTTAGAGGTGATCAATCGTCTCTTCTCTGTGTAGAAGTTTTCAGCAGGTATTTTGTTTTCTGAAAACTCGACCTTTAAAAACTCCTAACAGCACATTTCCTTTTCATCTTGGTGGAATAAAGCGGATGTCACTGACACGGTGAACGTGATCACTTTAACTTTTATTTCACTTTGCAAACACATTTCTGTAACATTACAAAAAAAAAAAAATCTCCCCCCTTAGGTTCTACCTATGTTTCCAAGGTTACCATGAATCCAGCAACCACTTATGAGTAAGAGCAGCATGCCCTCCTCCATTGATGGATGAAGACGATTTTAAGTGCAGTCCAAAACAACAAAAAGCCTATTACGGTTCCAAATGAATAAACACATGGAAAAAAAAGACCTGACACAGAGTCACACCCCAGTGTTGTTCATTGAACTCACAGCCACTTCCTCAGTCCATCCATGAGCCCTGAGGATACTCAACCTCAGCATGAGGGCATCCACTGACAGGTTGTGAACTCGGCCTTTGGCTCTCCCCTCGGCTGTTTACCTTCTCTAATTACCACATGTTGGTCCATCATCCACTGTGCGTCCTCTGCCTTGCTGTTTCTCCCTCTGTCTTCATGCACAAGCTAAATATGTATTTCACATCATTAACCATGTTGGCATTCAGCGCTGTTTGAGGTGCAACACCATAACTATGCAGGAAGCCCTCGTTAGGAGGCGAATTATGATTCGGCATGAGGAAATGTGTTTAATCATCTCAAAAGAATCCAGATGATGATATGCGGCTGCGGAATCACTTTGTTTGGCCCCGTCTCTCACTGCAGAGCGGAATCGAGAAGTAATTCTTCAGGATTTATGTTCAACTATGTGAATGCAGAACGCACTTTTGAAATTGAAAATGGTGAAGTAACACCTGCAGACTGAAATCGATTCCTTTGACTGAAACCACTGAGTTAGAAAGCAGGGAGGTGAGGGAAAGGGAAGCTTAGAGAGGTCTGGAGATAAAAGTGCCACCCCACACAGGAGAGCTGTGCTTGCAAACGCCTAAACATGAGAGCTGCTTTGCATGAACGTTGAATGATATTTACTGTACTTCACAGAACTGCATCTTCTCACCCTCTGTGCCCTGAAATGTGTGCACACAAAGCATAGATAATTTATACAATGGCAGCCTGAAACATCCAGCATTGTGTGGGCTTTTGAAGTATTCCTTTTTGTTATTTTATATAAGATGACCATAAATTCCATTGCACGTTTTAGAACAGAGGAAGTTTAAGAAACACATCTGATCAAGGTACAATCCATGAACTTGATCATATAGGTTTTTGAATAAACTCTTTCACTGATTTGAAAGTTTGTTATTAAACTAAACTGAAATGTACGGTGCACTTTTTCAACCTGTGAGCAGTGTTTTATATCACAGAGTTTCAGCCAAAAGCTCAAGGTTGTTCAGTTAGTGTTTTAACAGGGTGATAAAATAAGAGAAAAATATCATCATCCAGACAAATGATCATGGGGATCTTTCCTTTGACCTCATCTTTTGCATTGAAGGCTTCCTTTGAGTTTTCTGAGTTTGATTCTTCAGTCTGAGGTCCTCGACAAGCTCTCAAGCAGAAACCAGCAGTCCTTTAGTTTACAGTGGGATGCTTAATTGTTCTTGTTGACTTCATCAGTCCCGGCAAATTTACAAATTGGAAATAAGTTCAATATCATTAGTCCCAAAACCTTGCTAATGACTAAATTATGCTTTGCCTATGTTTTATTTTTTTTTCAATTTGATGTTGAATCTCCAACATGCAGAACAATGTCAACTACTTATGTTATTGGTTTGCTGTGATTTGACGTAGATTTTTTTTGCTCAACTTTAGGGAAAAACATTTGAATGTTCAGGTATTTTTAAGATACTAGCACACTATTTGAACATTAAATACGACTAGGACTCTTTCAAATGATTTTCCTAATATGGTAGCATCCACCACCTCATGACAAAAAGTGACATGGTCAAAATATCAAAGCTATATTATCAGTCTAATGTTTTTTTGTGTTTTTGCTTTTAGACAAGTTAAGATCCAGATACTGTAAACTAGAGTAGGGCCCTTAGTGACAGCTTCTCATTCTACTTTAAAAGTAGGTTGAAGGTCATAACCTTAACCACTGAAAAAAGGAACTTGTAACAAATAAAAACAGCTTAAGGTACAGTCAAGTGAATATTTGATGTCACAAGTTGCATATTTCTTTTGATTGTCCTCTAAGCTGTCTGGGAGGTTTTTTTTTAAGTGAAAGAAACATTCAAAGGCTCAGAGGTGTTGTCTTTGTTCATCATTGTGGCTACAATGAGATGTTGCGATGGCGCATAAAGGGACAAAATAGCATGCAAAAAATGCCTTTAGGAAAAATGCATGGTGATTGATGTGTTAACACTGACAGCCTTACTTACTGATATTCACATTTAACTTAGATCTTTGCCTTAAATATATATTTCAATCACCTTACTGTATGTGGAGCACATTGAGTCCAACAAAGAACACTTGATAAGACATTGTATATACCGTATGCTATGCCTGGTCTGATGGCCACGAAGATCCAAACCAGAAACTCAAGACTAATTTGAACATACACTCTTCATGCCTGTACCCAGGCCAGGACATCTGGCTCTGACCTTGACCACTGGCGAGAAGCCAAGTCTGGGCTGGGATCCATGCATCACTCTCTGGTGACCACCGACCTCCAGCAGTCATTTTTCTTTAACTACTCCCAGTGCAGCTGTCAGCATAGAGGGTATAACCTTTGTTCCAACATCAGCAAACTTTACTCCTCCTCTGTGTCTGCTGGAGAATGTCCGTCGTCCACTGTTCAAACTACCCCTTTTAGACCAGCAATTAATTTCCAAATCCATCTGTTTATAAGCTGGAAACCTTCACGGTGGTTTAAAGCCACGGCACCAATTAACATGATCCACACGTTGTTATAAAGAGGCTGCTGTTGACTGTCAAAAGTGACAGATGGGCCTGAAATAATCAGCGAACAAGGGCTGAAAGAGTGTTTGATTCAAGATGTTAGCCATGTAGCAGGCTGGAGTCTCTAGCTTTGATGGACAAACAACCATGAATGGGACTTGAATTGATTGAGAAACACGAAGCGATGGACCTTTAACAAGTGCGTCTGTCAGATCGCTGGTGAGCTGGCAGTGTGATGGATTGAACCCGCTGACACGTCCCTGCCAGGTAGCAGAATGTTTGAACACCTTGACGGATGAGGAAGAGGATTGATTTCTGTCCGTGTCATAATGTGAATATGTGTGTGTGAGCTCCATGAAAAAGTTAATGTGTTTTAACTTGGAGGATGTCACATCCCTTGCTGGACTGAAATTAATCACAGCAAAATGATAGCCTTCCTGTGATGTAAGCCACATTGTATTTTTCTCTCACTTATTTGTCTTCAGTTAAGATCTTGAGCAGAAAGCGATTAAGCTTTAATTATTCGTCCCTCTGATAGGGTGAATTGTTCGATTTGGGGTACGAGATCGATGGTTGACAACCAGCTTCACGTTCCTCTTTCACTAACTTATTTAGGTAAACGACAATCAAGATCTTTTGCTCGTCTCCTTAACTTAATACCACTAGAAAACTGCTATATGAGCTGAGGTCCATTTACCATAATCTAAGTATATGACTAAATAAAAAATATTAATTACAATTAAAAATTACAAAGACATTTCTCCATATGAATCTAAATGAATTAGGTAATGTCCTATTGATCTATTTCTATGGTAATAGCACAAACGAGATTTGAATATAATTGTCATAAAACACATGGTTTATAGTATTCAAAGTCAAATATTGCAGGTCTTATTTTACAGTATTGAGTACTATATAAAAGTATAGGATATATGAAAATACCCAAATAAATATGAATGTTAAACATGCCTATATGCATAGAAATGTTTCATGTATACTATAATAGTATAGAGAATTTGGTAGTCATATGTATAATAGAATATCAAATGTATGTTTAGCTATGAGTGATACGTGACCTGCTATATTAGTGCAAAGTAGTGGCCATGTAGGAGGAGGTTGATGCTAGTGACAGATAAGTACATGTGTTAAATAAATATGTTCACATCAGCGCCCTGCAAGTGTCCTGAGTGCTTAGATATGAACCAAACAAAAATCAACAATCAGTCATTCATTGACATAATGAGGTAAAAAAGAGTGAACTGCCTGATTAAAAAAAACGAGCTAGAGGTTTGAGTTCCAGTTTTGTGTAACAGCAGTAAAGTATTGAAAGGGTCATGGGAGCATGACGCAAATGATGCAAGCGTATAATTACAGCGGGAGTGTAACTCAGACCCCTGATCTTGGGTCAGCTTCAGAGAGTCATTATTCTACATTAATCTTTGGCCCTCTTACAGAAGAGTAAGCTGTGGTTTGATTAGCTGTTCAGGAAATATCGTTTGGGGTTTCTAATCACACATCTTCTATGAATTTCTGATTTTCTCATGGACTGCCCTGGCACCTGCAGATAGAAGTGGAATTCTTGTAATATTAGTTTCAGTGTGATCTCAAATGTACTCAAACTGGTTCTAGGAAATACCCGAGAATGTTGCACTTGAACATACAAACAGCCACATTTGTTAGGAAAAATACTGCCAATCATGAAGGGAAAAGAGTGCTTGGAATGAATTTGGACCAAATTATTCACAACTTATATTAAACCTCTTGTGTTGTGGTAGATAAAAATATAGAACTGAACATAAATGTTTAAAAATGTGTGTCTGTGTGTGAACTTTTAGCATCACTGTAGGAGTGTTAGTGAGTGAGTGGTGGATTTGGTGAGTGTGTGTGCTCGTGTATTAATGGATGAACAATGACTCTTTTTCTTTTTGTGTGGTTCTTCCTTTTCCGTTATGTAGGAACAAAAAGCATTTACCAAAATGAATCTCCCACACAGCGGACATGGATCTGCCTCCTGTTTCTCTTCACTTCTGCAGCTCAAACACAAACATACTTTTGTTACTCTACTAGTGAGAGTGAGAGAGAAAACTAAACTGAGGAGACCTCTGGCTCCGGCTGAGGGTCGGGTTGTCTCCTGGCAGGTTATAGGTTGACAGTCTAATCACACCGTCCATGCTGGCAGAGCTTGACAGGATGAGGGAAAGATGGAGGAGAAAACCTGCTTCACAATCATTATCTTCAACAACTCAGAAGACTCAAAGCAATGTTGTCTCAAGAGGATTCTACAGTGTGTTTGTCTCTCCTTCCCTCAGCCTGTGTTTGTTTGTCAGTAAGTGAAAGGAGTTTATTTTTTCTTTGTATATAATGTGTTACCTTTTTCCATCCCCTAAGGCCAGATCTGCAGCAGGTTCGCGTCTTACCAACCACATACAGAAGCTGACAGTTATGGCTAAGTGTGGGAGACAAACCGATGGGGAAGCTGAGGCTTTATAAGGTGGGGGAGATATCACTAAGGTATTTTTTGGTCTTTCCTCTCCTTGTAAACAAGTATGTATTAAAACTCTTAAAATCTGATTTTCTGATCTGAGGTTTTTGGCACAAATAAATAAAGGGACATGGCTTGCTAATAAGGAAAAATGTTAGTAAGCGATATTTATACCCACATAGTTATATACTGAATCATCAAGGAATACATGTTTAACTAAAAATTGGCTTTCATGATAAGTTTGTATGATGTCATTTGGAGAGAAAAAGAATCCTCAGAAACACCATTCTATACTACAAAAGATCATTTTGTTAAGGGAAGGCGCCGGTAGCCTATAGTGGTTGGTTCCCACGCCCCATGTGCGAAGGCTGTGGTCCTCCAAGTGGGTGGTCAAGGGTCACATCCGCCCTGTGGCCCCTGTGCTGCATGTCATTCCTCATCCTCACTCTCCCTTCCCGATTTCTGACTCTATCTACTATATCTATTTCTGAATAAAGGCATACAAAGCCCAAGGATAAAACCTTTAAAAAAGTTTAAATAGTTTGAATAAAATCTAATTATCCCATTACAACTTGATACTGATCAGTATTAATAAAAAAAATAAAAAATAAAAAAAAAACGTCTTTATTATGTCACAGCAATATGTTTCTTTAGATAACACAGGGCTGTGTTGTGAGACTATTGTTTTTTACAAACTGCAGTCTCTATGAGATCCTTGTGATGATACTTTAATCTTTTGACCAGTAATGTACAGTATGTGTTGCAGCACTCCCTGTCCTTCCCCTTAAGTATAACCCGTGTGTGTGTGTGTCCAAGATGTTTCTCAAATGTACCATGACAACCTGTCATGCTCGGCTCTGTCCGCCTACAGCAACACAGAAGGGTTCATTCCCCATCGGTGATCAGTGGTGAGTGGGCATCTGCGTGCATCTCTCACTGAAAGAGTTTACTGTTACAGCAGCAACATGACAACAACACAAAGTGGTAGCATGTGTGCATATTAGGACATGTGCATGCATGTGTTGGTTAAATGAGTGCATATTGTGTGGCTTTCTGTGTCCATGCTGTGGCTGAGGGCTTATAAGACTCACACAGTGGGATAAAGGCAGTGGTGCGGTGACGAGAGCCTAATCTGAGCTCGTGTGATCGGCCTGCCGACGCTACAGAGATATGAGCATTTGACTTGTTAAAAGGGATGTTCTTCACTAAGAGCCTCGTTGGCCTTGACATAACTGGGACATAGTTCTCCTTGTCAAAGTTAATAATCGATTCCCACTACAGGGATAATCTGACAGCAGACCCCCGCCGAGCATGACACCTCCCAACGCAAGCTGTCGTCACATCCTCGTGTATTAATAACAAGCAAAACAGTTACCAATAGCAACTGAAATAACTCCATGTTGCCCGATTCAAGAGGTAAACACTTGACTATGGTACTGATCTCCACTGTGTGCTTTGATGTAGGACTTTGATACTAATGACCCATAATACAACACATCAGGGAGTCTGCCGGGTTCTGAAGATTTGGCCATAGATAAAGGAGTGTGTGTGTGTCCAAACCAAATGACCTCTGAAAATATACTTTTGATTTGCTCTATCAAAACACTGCCTATTCCTTTTTATTTTTTGTATTTTCGTTTTGCAGGAACATAACCTGTGTATGGAAAAATGGCAGCAGGTGTCCCCAGGGGGCGGGGGATATGAGCTGGGCTGCAGCATCATTTCTCATCTGGATGGAACATTAATAACACTGAGACCCGGGGAGAAAGCTCCATCTGGGCCAGGCCGGTGCGTTGCTGAGGGGACAGGCCACTGACTCCACAAGTCTATAATCTCTCATATAGCGCTACGGCAGCCTGCAGGGCTCACTTGGAAATAAAATAAATAAACATAAATAAACTTATACAGATTATCAAAAAGAATCCTTGAAAAGAGTGACCCCAACTTCCTGAGATGATTTATTTCCGATCGTAAAAAAAAAGATCCTTTAATTAAACGCCGTGTTTGCAGAGCGTGACACTTGCGACTACAAATGAGCTCTTATGAATAATCACATAATTATTTCTTCTGCCCTTCAGCCCCTATCCCGTAGTGGTTTCGGTGTTAAATAAATAACAAACAAGCAGGTAAAATGTATCTAAGTGAGAAGGAAAAGGCCCCCACAGAAGGAAATAAAACTACGCAGAGGTGAGTTCACCCCCTCTTCTAGTATGGTGCAGCAGTGTTCAATACTGCAGCTCACTGCTCAGTGACTTGTCATTTCCATTTTTATCACCACTCCTTCTGTAAGTGCTTGTTAATCAATACACTAACAGCAAGGACTCTCTCTGTGGTTGCCTGAAGCAGAGAGGCATGAAGTGTTAACAACATATCCCACATCTCCACCTCCATGCCTCAGTATGTGGAAATTATGTTTGGTGCTGTGTTTGTTGTCCATATTCTACTGGTTACTTTTTTAAGTATCTTTAAATCCTCTTTTTTTTTTTTTTTTCATCTGAGGGTTGCTTGTAAGTCGTGGGCAAAAAATAAAAAGTCTTGGTCAGATGTCATGGTTTTTCAGGCCTTGTGTTAGGCCTTTCCAGGTCATGTTGTGTGAAAAAGGCCCAGTCTGCTGTGGGGGAGATGGTGTCTGGCTGTCTGTCTTTCCTGTACAAGGACAACACAGTCTGCTAAAAAAGCTCTATCTCAAGGTCAGTGCTCTGTAAATGTTTCATTCAGGTGATGCCTCCGATCGCAGAGCAAAGAAAATGTCTCAAGGACTGAAAATTCACCGGCTCACAGAAAAAAAGTTTTACAAGCCTCTGGTAATTTTTCATTAAACTGACTGAAAGTTATTCTTCATTTTCCAGGATCTTCTTGAGTGTCAGCTGTGGCCAAACAACCCTGTGAAGCACTCTGATACAAGCCTGTCTGGCCCTTCATGTAACATCCCTCATAATGAAGCCGTTTTTTTGTGTCTATCTTTGCAAGAGGGCAGTCAGAGATATGACTTTGATCTCTGCTGAAAGGTGGGGGTGAAGAGATCGAGACTGCGGAGCGATAAATGAGCTTCACGGAGCGAGCGGGGGCATCGCAGTTCTGTCTCGGTAGACTTGTGACTTCCTGTCGAGTTTTTTTCCCCCGTGAAGCCGCCTCTGCCTGATTGTTTTTCTCAGCTGAGGTAATTCAGGTGCACTCGCCTGGAGCTTCCCTGACTTGTGTTTATTAGTTATTCATTTCCATCAGCCTGAGCTGCCTTAGGCGATGTGATCTGCAACGTGCTCCCTGCTCAGGTGTTCAACAGCCCGGCTGGATCATCCTCCAGCTCCCATGATGCCTAGCAGCACAGCATTACTGGGTTCTTAATGGTTCAGTGTATTTTTAATATTAGGAAACTCGCAGAGAGAAAACAGAAAGCGTTAGAATATTAGAATATGCTGCAAGTTTGCAGTGTTTTTTAAAGCATGCGAAGGAGTATTTTTTTAAATCCCTCATTAAAACGTGATTCTCTTTCACCTTGAAATTATCCACTGTTTCTGAAATTAAATGTACATTTTCACCTCATATGTCATGTAGGCAGATGCAGGTAGGCAGAGTGAATCAATGAGAAATGTTCAATAAGGCACACATGGTCAAGGTAAGAATAAATTAAACAAATTCTAAAGAAATCTCTAGGTCTAAGTTTCCTTCCTTAGTCCCATGCTAAGTGTTTCTTGCAGTATTTTAAGAATATCTTTCGAGTTTTAATTCATTTACAAATGACATGACCATGCCAATATTTTTTTTTAGCTGGAATATGATAGTTGATATTATGTTGTTGACAGTATTTTGCTTAAAAGCAATGCCCCATTTGTTGCTAATTTGAACTAATACATAAAACGTCCTCACCATCCACACAGGAGGGTTTGTTGCGTGTCGTTCCGGCGACTTTCCCCGGTAAACAGGAGCACTTGACTGTCTGAGAACGCTCCTCAATTCGATTCTTGTTACAGCACCGGTGGGCGGCAATCACCTCACACGTACCTCCCTCTGCAGAGACAAAGACACAGAAAAACAAGGTCAGAACATGCGCAGGAATTTAAAAAAAAATATGTCTCTGAAAATCACTTGAACAGAGCACATATTGCATAACAAACCTTTCCCCGGTTACATGTGTTTTTTATAACGTCAAAATACAGCGACAATTTTATGAATGAGAGACATGCTTTGGCTAACTCGTCACATCATGTGAGGCATGCTGCAGTACAATCATTGGGCACTTACACTGTAAGTATGTGTAACAAATTGGCCCTTGAGGCATCTCAATTATGTCATTTAATTGCCTCTTAGCTAGTACGGGCTGTCCTTACTCCATACCAATCAGCCAATGATGAAGATCACATCATGCACTTCCTGCGTATTAATCCGCCCGCTTTTGCATCTTTAATATCTTCCAGATGTTATCAGTGTGATTAAAAAGGGATGAATCATTTGTCTATTCTTCTCCAGTGGAGACCTGAGAGTTGGCTTTGAATCCCACGACTGAGCCAATACAGTCTCAGGCTATGCTAAAGCATTAACTCCAAAGCATAGGTGACATCAGTCAGAGAAAATGCAGCACAATAGGTCCCAGTCTGACAAAAGAGGATGTCAACAAAATACCGTGGAAAGAAAAGGCGATCTGTGCCAATGGCGGCGCTGGGTCAAAATAACAATGGGGAGGATTGCCCAGGGGAGGGAGAGGGGGTGATGGAGCTGAGGGACACCCTGAAAAGAGAGACAGGCAGAGAGACAGAGCTAGAGGACAAGGTGTGTCTGGCTGCCAGGGACTGGCCATGCTAGTGAGTAATGAGGGAGCCACTGGAAGTGCCCCCTTCACACAATTATAAAGCGTGGGGCTAATGCAGCCAGCGGAGCTGCAGGAGAGAGGCCTTCCATCACCACTCTCCCCTTTCCCTACGCCCCAGGAAAAACTCTTTATCTTCCCTTGACAGCCACTGCAACAGACACCGGCGTCCAACAATTAAACTGGAGCTCGTCCCCGGACAGAGGAGAAGGGAGGAGAGAGGAGAGGAGCAGGGTTGAACTTATCCTCCTCAATCCACTGAATGCATAGAGTGCTAAAAGAACGGGAGACAACCAAATGCCACATTCCATATTGTTTGTGTCTGATTTCACTCGACCGTACCAGGTTTTAAAGAGAACATCCTGCTGCGGTGAGAAGATGCATTCGCTTCCACTGGCACGACAACAACCGGTGTGTGTTTCTCCTGCTCGGTTGGCTGTGCAAATGTTTGAAAAAGGCTTGCATCATGAATTACGGAGCTGAGCTCCCCGCTACCTCGACAAGTTTGGCAACAGCTTTCTTCTCCCATTCCCATCAATGTCTGCTGTGGCCAGACCAAAGGCCGCAGAGTCCTGGATTAAAAGGCAAACATTTGCAGTCCTGCTGGACCGTGCTGTCGTGCAGTATTAATGTCACTCTCTCAGAGCTTGTTGGATATTTCGGGGCAGGAGGAGGCAGAACACAGACTATAAAAGTGAGGAGAAGTATCCCTTGAGTGTGCTAAAACCTCAAACCCCACAATGTGTTGGCATGTTGAATATTTTACCGACAGCTTCCTGACCTGCAGACTTGCTTTCAAGTCAAAGCGGTTCTCTGAATAAGTGAAGACTTTACACTGCGTCACAGAATACTGAATTGGGTTGAATCCCCCCAAGCTTGCTTAGGTGCCTGATTTGCAGCTTAGCACTTCACTGTTATAACCTGGGAACATCTGACTGGGGACAACAGAAGACAAGCTCTGTCATATTCACATCTCTTGTTCAGTGGCGCTTAAGGGGAGTTTGACATGTTGGAGGGAGCTCTGACAACAAACAGTGGTTGCATTATCAAAGACGTGATGGTTTCGTAAGGTGGGAGATAAACAAACATACGAACTTGAGCAATTACCACATGTGCATGATTAAAAACTGCAAGGCCAGTTCAGCTGATTTGCACACAACTTCCTCTGCCTTAAGACTCCAGGTTTAAAATGTACAGTAAGTTTAAACCTTTAAAACACCTACATTTGCAATAAATTGACTACAAATCAGGTTTATTTAGGAATAATGTAGTTGAAGGAAGCCCATTATAAAGAATTGACAACATTCTTTCATTTCAAGGATTCAGATTGACATGGATTTAATCATGAAGTAAGAATTAGTGCAGCGAGGATTAAAAAAAAACATTGAATTACTTTAACTTTGCTTCAATATATTTTCCGAGAGGTACGATCATAACTCAATCCACACAGCCTGCTACTCTATACAGCAGATCAGGTGTTAAGTCACTGCCTGTGATTTTTTTAATCTGCACTGAAATAAACTAATACACATTTTCTCCTGTACAAAAATGTAAGAATTTTAAAACAACTGTGAATCAGTTACGTTAAAACGAATAGCTTATGTGGCATTCATTTTGTAAATTAAAAAAATACTGATTTGGCAGACGTGAACTCTTTGAATACTATTGACATCTGATTGAACACAAATAATCAGAACACAACTTATTACATAAATCATTGTGCTCATTAAGATTATAATCATTGCCATCAGACTTGAGGAGTGTCCCTTTCACTCACACACACCTACAAAGATACTTGTGTGTGTCAGCCGTGCGGCGAGGTCCAGCCATCAGCCAGGTGGACATTAGGCGTGATCACGATGAACCATCTGGTATGTGAAAGAGAGAGCAGAGTAAATGGCTTTACGATGACTCTACTGGGCCAGTCAAGAGAGCCACTTAGACGACAAATGGCCACTTGAACTAGACATAATCCCATTCAGGTAGCTGCTGGGGTAAATGGTCTGCCACTTTCTCCGTCTGAGTGTGTGTGGGTGTTTGTGTGTGAGGGTCTGTCACCGTAAGAGTTTGTCTTTGTGTGTATTTATGCATTTTATGTACTGTGCTATTCCACCATATTCTGTTAACTTCCTGGCTGGAAAACAGTAGCTGCAGTATTGGATTAGGACAACTCGCGACACAGCTGCAGAATGTGATGGATATAGTGCTGGGAGCCTGTCAGGCAGCTAAAGGGGTTAAACCAACCTGCTAAGATGGAGTGGGTGGCTGTGCACTCTAGCCTTTGGTGAGGGGAGGTGAAGGGCATCGATGGGACCACTGACTGGTCATTTTTCTCTCTGCGACCCACAGTGACAGCAGCCATTAAACGACTGGATGAGGTGATTATGTTTCAGGAAATCAATGCTTCATTGTTCTCAGCTTAGCCCAATGGCTAATTAGGAGCTGTTAATGAGGTAAGGCTGTAGAATGTGGAGACACATAGGGGGAAGGGGCTGAGAGAAAAAGAAGAAATTCATGCTTAAAACATATATTAGAGGATTTTCCACTGGGAACGGAAAGTTGAGTCCGGATAATGTTTACATTTGATTATTCAAAAATGAAATAATGCAATGAAAAATCATTAACATTTGCATACCAAAATGGTAATCCTCTAAATGTACAAAGACACATTTTCTGGATAATACTTTTGAAAATAAGGGGGCTGTGTTATACTCAATAAGTATTAATTACATCAGATAGTGTCTTTGAAATAAATAAATGACTTCTACAATAACACTATACCACTTTCACAGGCACTTCATAGTGTGACATTTAGACGGGTTCAGCCCTTGAAAGTGTTCTGTTAGCCCTGCGCAATATAAACATGTTTCTTGAGGCTTATGTTTCGAAGCCAGTGTAAATCCATGGCGAGTAAATATGAGTCTGAAGGGCCTTCAAATGCTATATTTGTTATGGACCGAGAGAAGAGACTGAAACATATTAAGAAACTAGTAATTACTGCTGTCACAGATGACGAGACACTCACACAGTTGGAAAGGTCCTAACTGAAAGTCCTATTTTCAACATCTTCTGAGGAGCCTGTCAGGAGGGTGTACGAGTTGTGTGACTGATAGGAGATGCAACGCAAACAAGGGATGTACATAACAGTGTGCTTTAACAGTGTAAGTTTATGTCTCCTTTGTTAACAAAACTAATATCTGGAAATGACCAGTAGGTTATTTATCTTTTTTTTAAAAAGACAATTTTCCTGAAAGCAATATACTGTATGAAAAAGAGGGTACATCTTATAATCAGATCTTCACAGAACCAAACACCAAACCTGGGGGGGACAGAGCCTTATCCATATGCCCTCTCCCCACAAATATTCAACACTGCACTGACTTATCTACATTCAAATCATTACTCAAGATTCACCTTTTCAAAAGAGCTTTTAATGTATGATTGTGATGTGTGTTCTGTATATGTTTGGCTTATATGTTGTCGTCTAAACTTAAGTGTGAAAAATGGGTTTATCAGGGACATCTTATAGTCAGGCCTTAACAGGAATCCTTTGAATCCTTTAATCCATGCATAGTCACCAACAAAAGCTAAAACACCCAGCCACTGGTGGGTTAGTTTATTTCTGTGCACAAACTCAAGGTCATGGTAAAAAAAACATTTTTTTTAAACATGACAGTTCATTCATCCAAAGGCTCCCGGCTCAGTGGAATGAAAGTGACATTTTCTTTGTATCCTCTGAGTGACAAAAAAAACTAACTCAACTGGCAACCGATTTCCCTCTGATCTCACTGCATCTGGCAATTTTTATGACACAGAGATAAACGCAGGTGCTTCTGACTTTGTAACCATAAAAAAAAAAAAACAACAAAACAACAAAAAGGTCCCCACTATACTTTGGCTGAGCTTGATCGTTAACAACAGTAATCTATGCAGAGGAGCAATAATTGGTAATCACTGGTGCACCATCAGCAAGCTGTTTTTTTTTTTTTTTTAACTCTGTCTCTCTCGCACTCAATCTTAACACTGCCTTTCACTCTGCTGTAGTTATTAAGTAATGACATATGGCCAAGGGAAGGAACTCAGAAAACTCAAGCCTCTCAAGGACTCGTCATAACCACTTCATCATTGTACACTTACATGAAAATGAGACGTTTGCGCAGGCACAATAGACTGCCCGCGTTGTTCTGCCAGACAGGCAGCTGCA